GAAATATGCATAACCATTTTCAAAGCCCTAGAAATTTGAAAGCTACCCATGAGTTTGGAGGGGAGGATGGTTTAGCACCCTCCAGGTACCTCTTAGCCATGTCCTTGAAAGCTCATAATTTGAGTGCAAAGACATGGGTGTTATTAAGTATATTGTTTCTGTCCTTCCGTGGTCATGATTAGGTAGCTGTATGTGAAAGGGGCATCCATTTAAAAGTGCAAGGTTCCTCTTCTATAATGTTCATGAGAAACACATTGAATATGATAAATTTCAGCTGTTTGCTCTGTGAAGTTTCAGCTTTTAAATGGATGAGAGTGAGGACTGTAATATCTGACCCTGTTTTACACTCCCCTCCCCACACCCCAGCATTAGTGTTATGATGGAGCATGTCTCCTTTCTCAGCCATCAAAATAAGGAAAACCTGTCTACAGACATTTTCTAAGATGCTCTATCTAGAGTCTTTCTCTTAGAAATGATAAATTAAAGGGACACTGTCAAGGCTATTAGGCTAAAATGAAAGCTACTACTCAAGCTTGATCTGAACTGCAGGTACCTGTGTGGAAGTCAGAGTTTCTCCACATTCAGATTTGTGGGTAAAGGCCAGGCAGGAGTGTAATTATACCTTAAATATTGTGGCAACTATTGCGAATGATAGCTTTTCAGTGCTCAAGAGGACAGAATAACTGAAAATATTCTTCTTTTAATGCAAGTATGATTTTGGCTCTATTAAATTCTTCCTTCAAGGGACATTTGCAGGGAACCTAGGAAAAATAAAACTGGAGCCCAGGAAAATCAGTGTTCAAAATCAGGGGCAGATCTGTGAAAGGACCTGACATCTATGTGTCAATCAACAATAGTCTGGTTCAAGGGTTATCAGGAATGGAATTGTTTGGTCTTTTGCTCTCTGTGCAGCCTATGGAATTTGAAAGAACCAGATAGGTACAGTGGGATCCAAATAACTATGTTACTAACCAGCAAGTCCTACAGTGTTGCTCTGGCAAGGTGCTGATGGGTTTTAAAAAGGTGCAAATTATTTCCTTATGAGTATCCATGTAGGCTTGAACACTATTTAATTTAATGGTCCATGTGACATGAGCTGATGGTCTCAGAGCAGTTGCAATCAGATATACATTCATATCACAAAAGTAGCACTATCAGAGTTGGGAAAAATCAGCAATATTGTTGGTAGTCTGATCAGAGCAGCCAAGGTTTGAATGAACATAGACAATGAAGTTTCCTTTTGTTCCTAGAGTTACTCCTTCTGGGTCCAGTTGGTGTAGCTGGCACACTGACGAAGTGTAGGAAGGGTTGAACTTTTGCTATCTGTATAGTGTCTGTTCAGTGAATAAAGAGAACAGTGTCTTGGGTGATGTCAAGCCAGCACCTTTCACAAGCACTAAATTCAGAAGGAACTGGAAGTTAAAGAGAAGCCAGTACTAAATGGCTTCTGTGATATTTCACTTGTCTCTTAAGAAGAACGTGTTACATGTTAATTATTCTGGAAACCTGGGGAACCAGTTGTGGATGTTTGTTTATCATGTGTGCTTTTACTGAATTGTAGAGACATAGCACAATAAAGAATGAAATAGTCACCCTGTCACCTCTAGCAATAGAGCATTCTGTCAGCTGTTCAAGTTCTGGCTCTAAAGACTCAAAGAAGTATTATTGGAGGCAGCAGAGCTCTTCTTGCTGAGTGAAGCAAAATGTTCCTCCATTTACCTGCCATTGAAATTAGGACTGTGAAAGTACATTTGGTAAAAGGTGGAAAAATGCTTGGTTTATGCGAACTAATTAGAATTGTTTGAAAAGTTCTGGTACTCAATTGTCCAGCCTGGTGCAGCAGCGAAGGATTACTAAATAATTTAATGTTACCAAATAAAGAGCAAAATCTTGAACTGGTATGACACTCTCCAGCACCCCTTCACACACTCACAACCCAAGCACATGGGAATAAGGAGCACTGCACCCCTGCTTCTGTCTGCAGAAAAAGGAAGTTGTCAGCATTGTAAATGTAGCTAATATTCCAAAAAAGAGCATACCTGGTGTCATCTCCCTGAAAATGCCCACAGCAAGGCAGAGTGCATCACTTTAACTAATTAGGCTGTTGTCAATATTGGGGCTTTGTTGTGCTAGGAGATGAAATGAGAAAAGTACAGGCTAGGAGACAATCTCTCCTCCAAAGAGCTTACAGACTAATTTAAGACAAGATGCAACAAGTGAGAGTACAAAGAAGGGAGAGTGGTGGACAATGGTCGGAGTGGTAGGAATACTTGATCTCACAGTTGTTCAATGGAGATACTCCTGGCAGTTCACATTGCAGAAAAATGTGTGCCTAGTTAGAAGGTTTTAAGTTAATATTTTTCTTTTAATATATAAGTAAACAGGAATAGTAATAAAATCAGTAGTCTTTGGTGGTCACAGACCTGGCTGTTAGTAGCTTGCAATTTATCATAGGCATCACAATGATATGAAAGAGGACCAGGCAGTATTTTTTACTGACTAGTTCTAGGAGGAACACCACATGCAAAAGGTGACATGGAAGAAAACACAAAGATGATTGTGGGAGTAGCAGAAAAACATATGATGGAGGCTGGCATGGTTGGAAGAGGTCATTATAAGTTCCACTCATTTCATAAAGGTCCATGAAAGAGGCAGATCAGAACTCAGTAAGTGGGTGGAAGAAAAAAGGAGGATGCAGCAACCAGCTGCCTGGGATCCTGTTCCTGTTTTCTGACTTTATGAGAATAGGGGTGTGTGTGTGTGTGTGTGTGTGTGTGTGTGTGTGTGTGTGTGTGTGCGCGCGTCGGCCT